CCTGCCTGCCCCGCTCACTCGTTCAGTCAAAGACTCGCCTGCCTGCCTCGCTCACTCGTTCAGTCACTCCGAGACTCGCCAGCTTACTCTGGGCCAGGCTCTAGGGGAACAACGAATAAACAGTAACCCAGCCCCTGCCCTCGAAGGGGTGGATGCTCCTGGGGGGACTGAAGGGGACACGACAAGTACACAAGGAAGGTTTGGAAGGCGTCCAAACAAAAAGCTCCAGGAGCACGTGAGGCCCAGGAGAGGGAGCAGCCCAAGAAATCAGGCCCGGCTTCGTGGAGGAGGCGGCCCCTCCCCCCAGCCCCCGCCGGCCCGCGCCGTGACGCACTCACCCCCGAGCTCGCGGCGCCCCGCCCCGACCCGGTTGGCCAGGACCAGGGGTTTGTTGGGTTTCAGCACCGGCCGCTTCGAATTGCCCAGGCGAGCCAGGCGGCCCCGCAGGCTTGGCGCAGCCATGGACCAGGCTCCTGACGCCGACGCCGACGCCGACGCCGCCGCCGCCGCCGCTGCCCGCACGCCCGGACGTCCTTGCGTCACCGCGCACGCCGGGGCGAGGCGTGTCGCCATGGAGACGCGCCCCGCCCGGTCACTGCCGCTGCAGCCTCTTCCCTGGGATCCCACCCGGCCTTGGGAGGACCTGGAAGCGAGGGAGGCAGGCCGAGCCGCAACTCGAGGTAAGGACAGTGCCCCAGGGAGGCGGCGAGGTCCGGCGGAATCCGGCGACCGGGGCTCAAAATCCGCCTCTGGGGGACCTCGGGTAAGTCACCGAACCTCTCCTGGGCCTGTTACCCTGTCTGTAAAATGAGGCTGGGCCACGATTAAAATGTGGTGTTGACGAACGTGCGGGCGGAGCAGGAGCTGCTCCCCGCGCACCCAGGGCCTCGAGGAGGGCGCCTGCACCTTTGGGGGGGTCACGCCACAGAGGCAGGCGTGGATGGATGCCCGGCAGCGCCCGAGATCGCAGGCCCAGTGCAGCCCGACAGCTCTCGTTCTGGTGAGCCCAGATCCTCCTCAGTGGATCCAGCGTGGATATCCGTGGGTAACAGAGAGACTTTAACGGGGTGGCCCGTGGGATTGGCTCTAGGGAGACAGCAGGACTCACCTGCAGAATTGTGTTGATTATTTATGGGGTTTTGTTTGTCTTGTATGTTTGGTGCATTTGTTTAACTGAGTTCTTTCATTTCATACAGGAAAGACTGTCCTGTATCCATTAAATGGGCTGTTACCTTCAATACTTATGTGCCCTTTTAGCCACACACCATAGTCTGACATTTCCCAGAGCAAACTCTAAGCTGAACAAGCCAAAGAGTAATTTGGGAGGTACCCCCAAGATTGGACCTGGCCCCTGTAAACGCAAAGCTTTGGGACCACAGAGCCAGGGAGTTACATGGAGTTGCCTTGCAGGATGTCTTTGAATAGATGCTCAGTTATTGCTTTTTGGATTGAACTGGATTACTGGGATGCTGCCAAAAAGTCTACCACCAAGTGATGGTGATGAACTTACATGTATACTTGAGATTATCTCTGGATAGTAAACACAGTCAATATCTGGAACCACACTCAAGGCTCCTCCAGCTTGGTAGGACCTTTGAGTTTGTGTATCTTTGGCATATCCTTGATCAACCTAGAGTCACTTTCATACCAAGATGACAAAAGTTACAAAGTAATGAAGGTGATTTTCCCCCTACATAAATGTGTCAGAACTTACACAATAGGCAAGATCCCCCTTCATAAGTCACCTTGGAAAGCTATCCATTTATTCTGAGGAGACTGCCATTGCTCAAGCCTTTTGGAACTGCACTCCAAGACAGTTTAGGAGCCACAAAAGAATATATGGTATTGAGAGTAGTCAGATCAAAACAACATGGTAACAGCACTTATATATCACTTTAAGGTTTGCAAAGCACTTTACAAATGTTATCTCATTTTATCCCCATAACCATGAAAGGCCCATGCTGTTATCATCATCCTCATTTTACAGATGGGGAAACTGAGACTGAGGCAAGTTAATACAGCTAGTTAAGTGTCTGAAGCCGGATTTGAATTTAAGAATCTTCCTCACACAATTTCAGGCTCAGACACTTAATGCAGATCAAGAGGAGTTCCAAAAATGTTTTGAGCAATAATAGCACTGTAGGAGTTAAGTATATTACCTTTCAAGTTGACCATTTAAGGGGCAACACTTATTTGGTTAGTGTGGGTCTCATTTGGCGAATGCACTTCCTTAACCAGAGTGTACCCTCTCAATCCTTATTATTTGTCAAGACTCAGCTTAGGTGCCAAGGGCTCCGGAAACACTCTTTCATTCCCCTAGAGCAGGGGTGGGGGACCTGCTGCCTCGAGGCCTCCTGTGGTGCTCCAGGTGAAATCTAGATTCAGACAAAGGGCCCAATTTGAGGTTAGTGCTCACCCCTTCCTCTGGTACATCTGTTGCATTCCCCATTAGAATGTCTATAACCTGTGACCCAGTGCCTCACAAGAATAGAGTCTGGTCTTGCGGACCAACCCCAAAAGTCAAGAGTCTCTCTTTTTGGCTCAATCCCCCAAACAAGAGTTAATCGGGGAAAATTTCCCACTAGAGCTTAGATTTATACTTGATGTATAAGTTTTCCCAAATGTCAATAACAGGGTTCCTAGCCTGTCTGCACTCAGGTATTTTGGTCTCCCTGCCCAAGCACCACTTAAAGGCTACTTTTTGGGCCCTCCAGGCTCAGAGTGAATGTAAATAATAACTGTCTCTTTTGGCCAGCAACCCTGGAGGGTCTTCCCCTCCCAGTTTGATTTTTTTTAATTAAAGGGGCCATCCTTTGACTCACTTCTTAAAGAGACCTATTCACTGAATGGGTGTTACCGCACTCAAAGTGAGAACCTGAAAAAACTGTAGCTTAAAAGGGCCAAGGTCTCCCATTGCATCCTGGACCATCTCCAGTCATCCTGATGAATATCTGGCCACTGGACCCAGTTGGCTCTGGAGGAGAAAATGAGTCTGGTGACCTTGCACAGCCCTCCCTCACTCAAAACAGTCAATTACAAGTCACGTCATCATCTCCACGATATCATGGTCCTCTTCGAGAACGAAGGACAAACACAATTGGGTAGTGTAGCCTTAATTTCAATCCAAAGAAAATACAGGCAACACAAAGGAGTCACATAAAACACAGTAATCCCAACATTCCAGTGAATTTATCTCCACAGAGAACTTCTGAGGGCCTGGACTCCCCTGGAAGGGAAAAAGGCTTGTTAGAACTGCTAACTCACAGCAGTTCTTCCCACTAGACCTGCACTGTCCAAATAACTCGTGGGAATTGCAAAATGTCAAGGTCAGCATTTGGACCACTTCTATGACTAGTCTGTTAATAGAGGCCATATGGGCAATTGTCTTCTTTCTCCAAGGTTGATGTTGTTCAGGAATGCCGTGAGTAATCATTCTCATTCCTTAGAAGGTCTGACCCCTGACCTTTCCAACTTGGGAACTGTTGAACTTGGAGATACTCACAAGGCAAGCCCCAAGATTGTCACTGCCCAGAAAATTTCCCTTCTCTGATTAGAAAGCTAGACTCTAGGATCACAGTGCCTAGAAAGACATTCATCAGGCCCACCTAAGTGAGCACCTATCTGCTCCTGCCATGTGCTTCCGCTTCAGCTGATGTGTTCTCTTGGGCTGGGAAAGTCCATTCTTAGGAACTCTAGTATCTGACCTGTGTACAGAAAGCTTAGGATGAGCAAATGTACCTCCCTCATGCTCATGCTCCAAGGGAGCAGTTACCAGTTCTTATGGGAAGAGACTATTTGTTATTGATGGGGAGGACCCCCGATTAACTCCCTCTTACAAATAGAAACTTCTTAAGAGGACGGATTGCTGTTTCATTGCTGTGTGGGTGGTACATGCTTAGTAACTGTTGAATTAAATTCCTTAATTGGTAATTCCTCTTTCACTCTCTCCCTACTCAGATCATCTCTTAGCTTCCAGATGAATCTTGCTTAGACACTTATTTAATGACATCTTTCATCTGCTCCAAAATCTTTAGTGAGTTCCTATTGCCTAACAAGTTCAAAATCTTTATAGTCCCTTGGTAGTGGGAAGAGCTGGAAGCAAGATTTCAATCGATGCTCTGATGCTTAATCCTTGTTTGACTTAATCTCTCTCTGGCTTTCCCTTTCCTCATCTGTAAAATGAGGGGGTATTGAGTTAGATGACCTCTATGGTCTCCTCCAGTTCTAAATCCTGATCCTAAGAAGTAAATAGTATAAATTCTTGTATATTTATAAAAAATCAGTCATTGGGGAAATTATGATGATATAAAAACAAAAGGTATCAACAAATAATTTTTTAATCACCCATATTTCATTTATGTGATGCCCTGGGCAATCATAATCCTGAGCACATCTCTTTTCATAGGCAAAGAAAATAATCTTGAAGCTCTCTTCACTTTTATCTCCATTCTACCATTAATATACCTGATTCCCTCTCCATAAAAAACACACAAGAAAAATACGCAAGTAGGAGAGGTTATAATAAAAGCATTTTATTCCAAAATTAAACCTGAGATTATAATATAAAATAGTTAACAAGTCATGATGATGAAGGCAGTAAGTCACTGCAAAACAATCTGAAATAACACTGATTCCAAGGCAGACACTAATATAATTGGTGAATCGAACTCAGCAGGGGACAAATCTGAGGTTAACCAGGTTTATCCTATATCGCCGTAAGCAAGTAGTACATCAGGAAAAATAACCTAGACCAGCATCTCAAGTCCCAAAGACAGGATCAAGTTCACACTGGCCTGGTCCTCCTTAGGGAAAGCGAAACCCTCACTTGAGCTCCCTAGCTCCCATAGCCATGTTGCTCCACTCCACTTTCAACAATGTCCAGTGGTATCCGCTTTGCCACACAAGTGGTCAGTGCTAAGCTTGCTTTCTTGTGTAGTACTAGCTGGAGAGTAAAAAAAGAAAAGTCCAAGGGGCAGCTAGATGGCGCAGTGGATAGAGCTCCGGCCTTGGAGTCAGGAAGACCTCAGTTCAAATCCTGTCTCAGACCAGACACTTGACACTTCCTAGCTATGTAACCTTGGGCAAGTTGCTTAACCCCAATTGCCTCACCAAAAAGAAAAAAAAGAAAAGCCCAAATAGAGCTAGCAATCAGGTCTGCCTCATGGTTGCTAGAATTCTCTAATGACTGACCCACTCGGTGCATATAAAGTGCTGTAACACACTTGTATAATTAGAAAGGATGGTAGGGATGAATCTAGCACCTTCCCTACCATTCCAATAAAAGCATCTATCCTTTCATTGCACATAATGTAAATAACACCAAACTAGTTTTTGTCTCTGTTTAGTATATGTCCTATATCCTTAATATATGTCTGTTTCTAAAGCTGTAAATTTCGAGGGCAAGGCCTACTTTTCATTTCTTTTGTAGCTGTCCAGAATAGTGCCACATTCAAATGGAAAACGAGGAAAAGCTTTGGTTGATTGTTATTCATCTCATTCTCTAGAAGCTTCCTTTGAATCTCTTTTCCTTACTAAGCTTTCCACTAGAATGCCCAAAGACAGCTTAGGCAGCCTTTCTAATCTGGTGTAAAGTGCATTTTCTATCAGTCTCATAGTTTTCTGAGCATCAAAGAAAATTCCTTTTTATCACTGCTAGATACACTCAGTACTAGAATGTCTTGGCTGGCAAAAGGAAGAGCAAACTTCAGATAAGATTTCAATAATACTGGTGTGTGGATGTATGGGGACCATAGCTGCAAGGGTGAGGCATAAAAGCTGTCCATCACTCCCAAAGAAGATTCACTGATGAAGAACCACAAAACCTTTGTGTCTGTCTCTAGGATCCAACACAGTTTTGCTCCGCTGCTGTAGAAAAGGCCTATGTGGCCCTCTAGGTCCCCAAGTTTCGCCCTTTGACTGAATCCAAACTTCACAGAAGAAATGGGATTTGTTTCACATGTGGCCTTGAGGCTGCAGGTTCCCTACCCCCTGGCCTATGGTTTTCCTACGCAGAGGAAGTCAGGCTGGGCATACAAACCACAGTGATTTAAGTGGGTTTGGATGCATCCCCAAAGTTGACTGACTATAGCTTTTCATTTACCCAGCCACTTGTGGTGACCATCTCCTGCCTTCCCATCCCCATTAGCTTGGTGCCTTGGCTTTATTCCACCCTGAATAGAGAGACTGAATAATGCATGTCAATGGATAATACAACATCATAACACTGTATGGCTGGGAGAAGACAACAAAACTCTACACAAAAGCAGCAAACCAAGGGGAAGCTTAGTGAAGCTAAAATATCAATGCACTTGAGATGGAAAGTGCTTCAGAATATAAGGTATTCAAAAGGTCTATGTAAAATGGCATCTTTTACTTGTAAAGTCTGATGCTGAGTGACGTGAGCAGAACTAAGAGAACGTTGTACACAATAACAGCCACGTTGCATGATGACTAATATTGATAAACGTAACCCTTCCCAGCAATACAAGGATCTAAGACATCTCCAGAGGCCTTGTGATGGAAAATGCTATCCACATCCAAAGAAAATGGAAGTTGAATTGCTTTTTCTTCTCTTCTGTTGAGTTTTGTTTCCTCTTTCTGATGGTTCCTCCTATTGATTTTAATTTTTACTTACAACATCACTAATGTGAAAATATGTTTAATATGAATGTAAATATATAGCCTCTACCAGATTGTGCACCATCTTGGGAGGGGTGGGGAGGAAGAGGGAGAAAAATTTTAAACTCAAAAGCATATGGAAGTGATTATTGATAAATCAAAATAAATTAATTTAAAAAATGGCATCTTTAGCATCCTTCCCATAATTCGTTAGAGAATAAAATGACTTTGCAGCACACAAAAATGAACAAAATTCACTGAGCAGCAGGGAAAAGCAAGATCATGTGTTGCCAAATGGTATTTTGATTGGTTGACTGCCTCTTTGTATATCTTAATGTCACAAAGAGTCTGACCCCAGGAAGACTTTTCCCACTGTATTTTCTGGGGAAAAAACTCTGAATTGAGGGCCAGAAGACACAGTTCTAGTCTAGTCTCTGTCACTAATAAACTACAAAATTGGGCTAATCATTTCACCTGACCCTCAGTTTTGAAAAAGACAAGTGTGTATATGGGGGGAGGGGGGAAGGTTATAAGATTCCTTCCAATTCAGACATTTTAGGGCCCTCTGCCTTAAGGATGCCCAGATGAGACCTAAGAAGATGAAAAGTCTGGAGAACTGAGTAGTCTTTGCTATTTAACTCTGGGGACTTGATCTCTAAATAAAACCAGTCAGAATGCAGGGGGTCACTGAACCCTTCCCAGGGTCTGCCACAGAATAAGCAATTCTATTTCTGTCTTCCTGGAGGGTAGAAGGGCTTTTCTGAAACCACATACTAAACAGCATGACAGTGGGGTGGGGGGGAGATGTACTAGGAATCTCCATACCTTAAGAAGTAGCACCTTTCCCTTTAAGCCACAAAGCAGAAAGAGAGTCTGTCGTCTTCCAGACCGTTTCCCACCTCAGCTGTGCCCAAGGAGCTCATGTGGGTGGCCGGGGGTACTGGTTCCTTCGGAGGAAGATGTCCTGCATGTAATCCCAAAATCTCCCTTGGTGTGTCTCACTGTTGTGGATCATGGCAGTGAGGGCCTCCCCCTGGTCCAGGCCTTGCCAGTAATCCTGCAGCCACATTTCTTTCCAGCTGAAACATCAAAGGACTGGAATTATGGAGTTCTTAGTAGAGTCAGAAACACAACGCTGGAGCCAGCGGGTGGGGGGGGGGGACTATGCATTATAAGGGAGGTGGGGTAAAGTTCATACACACTAGACTGAGAGCCAGATTGAGGATACTTGCAGAGGCACCGGGGCCAGATGGAGCCGGAGTGTGGGAGGTTCTATGCTTTCCCAGGGGCTTTGTTTTTCCCAACCATGTAGGTGCCCCCTGTAGCTCAGCACCTGTAAGTGACCATGCCTACTTGTCTACCCTTCCTGTAGTCCACCCTAGCATAGAACTGAGCATACAGCTGGCAGAAAATAATACCTGTCCACGACCTGATGGACTTAGATGCTCCCCACCCCCTCAGTCATCCGCAGCAGCTCCTTAAAACCAATCTCTACCTGCCATTTGCTGCCCAAGGCAGCCTTTAAGAAGAACCCCATATTACACTAAGATAAAGTTACTGTAAAAGTGTTGAGCAGTCTTCAGAACTGGCACTCCCAATGACTGTAACCTTATCTCTAAGGCCCTGTTTGACATGGAGAGCACCTTATTCTCTGCATCATAAGATTCTTCCATGTGGCCCTCACATTTTCCTACCTCACCCCCCATCTCAGGGTCTTAATCTATCAAAGTCCAAATGACTGCAATAGCCTCACAATTGGTCTTGCTCCCAATCTCTAGCCACACCCCGCCCCAATACCAGATTATCCTTTCTAAAACACTGTTTTGATCCCTTCCCTGCTCAAAACCCTTCAAGGACCCACTGCTACTTAAGGTCCTCGGGCCAAACTGGCCTGAGGCCTGGCACTGTGGCTTGAGCAATCCCCTCCATCCCACTTCCCCCCCAATCTATCTTTTAGGACCTGTTCAAACCCCACTCCCGTCTTCCCCAAAGCCCTGGACCAAAGGGATCCCCCTCCCTCTACGGACCTCGAAGAGCAAGTGGAGAGGGCGGGGTCAGCCACAAAGGCCCTCTTCCCCCGATGGAGCGCCCGGCCCTCCTCACCTGTCGTTCTCAGGGATCTCCTCGAGCCTCCCAAAGCCGGGGGAGGGCTCGGGGCAGGCCATGTGGGAGTGCTGCGCGATTCGGGGCGGCGGCGGCGGGATGCGGGCAGGGTCGGCCGCGTGGGCCCTTTCGGCCGCCAGCCTGGCCAGCTCGTGGTCACAGACGAAGCACTCGAAGCCCTCCAAGTAGCTGGGCTGCCAGGGGTCGTTCACGCCCCACTCGCGCTGCTCCAGGCTGTCCAGAAGGAGCCGGTTGGTGATGCCCCCGGGCTGCTTGTAGGCCAGATACTTGGCGTACTCGTCGTCATTGCTGTCCAGGAAGTCGATGAAGGCGGCCAGCTGCTGCGGCGACTCGAAGTCGTCCACTAGGATGACGGCGCGCTCGTTGGGCATCCAGTCGCGCACGGACGGCGAGCCGCGGTACACGGGCACGGCCCCCAGGTGCAGCGGCCGCCACAGCTTCTCTGTCATGTAGTCGTCGCATATGGCGTTCTCCATGGCCAGGTGGAACTTGTAGCGGGACAGGAAGGCCAGGAGCTCGGGGTCCTCCGACGTGGCCGTGGCTGTGTCGCGCAGCCGGGCCGGCAGCTCGCGATTCTGCAGGCACTTGCCGTACGAGTCCACCTGGGCGCCGGGAAGGAGAGGACCGCCCCTCTCTTCACTGACCCCGCCCCGCCGCCCCTTTCGTCGCTGACCTCGCCCCCGGGACCGCCCCTTCCCTTCGCTGATCCCGCCCCCCCAGCGCGCCCCTCGCCTCACCGGAATGTAGCGCATCAGCTCGCGCACGTAGCGGTCGCGGTCCGAGGGCACGTCGCAGTGGGACTGCAGATAGAGGAGCGGCGCGTAGCCGCGGCGGCGCCAAGCGGCGCGCTCGGCGGGCGCGGGCGGGGCGTGGCGCAGGTAGGCGAGGCCGGGGAGCCACTGCAGCGGCAGCGGGTAGTCGGAGCGGCGGCTGAAGGTGGCGCTGAGGTTGAAGAGGCGGATGCCGGGCGCGTGGCTCAAAAGGAAGTTGTTGAGCGGCGACTCCTCGTGCAGCAGCGCCCAGCTCTGATGCGCCAGGCGGGGCAGCGGCGCCTCGGACGCTCGGAAGTCCGTGCCGTAGAAGAGCAGCGCGCGCGTGCGCGGCTCCCGCCGCCGCCGCCGGTCCCGGGAAGCCACGCACGCGCCGCGCGCGCACTCGATGCGCTCCGAGTCTGCGGGGAAGTGAGGGAACAAGCCGGGACTCCACCACAACAGGACGGGTAGGTCGTCCTCGTCGCGCCCCGGCTTCCCCGAGCTCCGCGCCACGCCAACCGAGCCCAGCGCAAACGGCGGCTGGAAAACCGAGCCACTCCAGGGCTCCGCACACTCTGCTTCGCCCTCGGGCCCCGGCTCGGCTCCGGCGCCGCCGCCGCCAAGCCAGAGTATCACCGCGGCCGCCAACGCCACGCTGGCGCCCTCCATGCCTGCTCCTGGTCTCGGCCCGCCGGCCTCAGATGAGACCCCGCCCCAAGGAGACAGGGAGGAGCGGGGGAAGAGCAACCCCTCCACGCATGCGCGCCTCCCCACGACCAGCTCCCATCCAAGCGTCTCGTCCAGGCCAAGAACCAGGCGATCTTAATACATCTTAATTTATTTTATTTGTTTCTTTACAAATTAAAGATGCGTTGAAAAAATAAACCAATGAGGAGAAGTGAGAGGCCCGAGGCGTCCCCCACCTCCAGCTCAGTGCCTGCCCTCGGACCTGGGTCTGTTAAAAGGTTCGGCTGTCCTAACGGGTCAGTGCCAGAAACCGTGGCGGCGGGCAGGCCTGGGCTCCTGCACCATTGTCTATCGGGCCTCTCTCACTCCGGTCCCTGGGGGCCGGGGGGCCGGGGCAAGGCAGCGGGGCAGGGCCAGGAGGGTTGGCTCTGTGAGGTATTGCAAGTTGATGACCAGGCTCCCTACAGAACCATCCAGTGTTAAACACCCCCACGGGAAAGGGGCTTGGTGACACGGCCCCCTACCCCCCCAAACGTCCGCAATTTCGTCCATCTCCGTGAAGGGTCCCAGGCTCTCCTAGCAGAGAAGGGGTGGGTAGAAAGAAGCCCCAGAGTCTCCACCCACAGAGTGAATACCAGACATTGGGGACAGGGAAAAAAAGTTGGGAGGCCAACTTCCCCCTCCACCCCCAAAACTCCCTCTCCCTCCCCCCAGCTCTGCTGCTCCCACGGGTGTAGGAGGGTTGAGCTATCCTAGAAACACTGGACTCTACCACCCACCCCCGGCTCCTGTACACCCTACATGTCATCCCTAATATAGGAAGTCACTGATACAGAGAGCTGAACCAGCACCCTGAATCCTCATTTCTGTCCCATTTGACCACTGCCCCAACCCCCAGGATCCCCACCATTCACTCCTGCTGCCCCCTCTCTTGGCTTGGAGGTTGGCCCAAATGGACACAGAGCATTCCCAGAGTTTGGATGCCTCTGCACCCCCAACACTGAGTCACACACAGTGAACTGAGAAACTACATTCATTATGACAGGGTTAGCAGGAAAGAGGGGGATAGGAGTACCTGCCAGCAGCAGGACATAGTTGAGTGTTGAGACCCTTGGACCCAGAGAGGGGCTACCCTCCCCAACCCCTGCCCCACCCTCTTGAGACTGAGGGGATCTCTGCTTACGTGACTTATAATATATGCAACTGTCCAGATTTCCCTGCTGTCCTGGGGACTTGTGGGGAGCTGGCCTGGAGCCCTCTGCCCTGCACCCACTTCCTCTAGCTCAGTAGCTGCCGGATCTCCTTGTGCATGTGACACAGAAAGTCTACGTAGGATGCACCCCCACTCAGGCTCTTGTCCTCCACCAGGAAGTGCTTGAATAACATCTCCAACTTGTCCTCTTGCTTCACCACGATGAGCTGATGCCAGAGCAGAGAGTACATGGGAGGACGGCAGAAGCAAACCAATCCAACGCCCCTCCGCCACCACTATTCTTCAGGATCATCCCTGGCCCCATTAGACCCCAAGAAGTCAAGGATACAAGGGGAACTTGGGGAGAGATGGAGAGGTTAGTACCTTCATATATCGGGATCTCTGCGCACGGAAGCTATCAATGAGGTCTCGCACCCTTTTAGACAATGGGTTCTCCAGGACTGGCAGGGCACTCTAGAAAACACAGAACTCATGGTTTCCCCTATGGCCAGGTTACTGGATCTCAGCCCAGTCACAAATACAGCCCCATGAAGCAAAGGAAAGACAGGATCTGAGATGGGACAGTGCCATCCCATGCTTCTGTAATACTTGGAAAAGACCAGCAGATCCTGTCCAAGGTACTAAGTCCCTATAACTTTGCAATGCTCATTAACAACCCTCTTTCCCTCCAGATTTCCGGGGAGCCCAGCCTCTCACCAGGCCACTGTTAATCTGGCTGAAGGAAGGGACGCTGAAGAGGCTCTGGACAACACCCTGCTGCACACTGGCCCCAACCCAGAGAAAAAGGTTAAGCCCATTCTCCAGTAAGTACACATCTCCCTTGCTGAGGCGCTCCTCAGATGCCCGGACAGCTGGTGGTTCGGCACTGCTTTCCACTGGAACCTTTGTCTGGGAGTAGAGGAGGGAAAGAGGATCAGACCACTGGGAACCAGTAAACCCCAACCAAGACAATACCAACATGCTCAGATTCTCCGGTCTTCCAGGCTGGGCTCTCACACTCTCATCAGTGCCTACCTTCTCCCCCAAGTTCATTTTCTTCCTAGCAGGAGCTCACATACCAACCCTCATCCTCACCAGTGGGAGGAGCCGAGGATAGAAGAAGACATTGGTTTCTGCCACATCCATCGAAGTGACCAACTGCCGAACATAGGCTCGGTCATCAGTGGTGACCTCAACCCCAGGCTGCAGGACATCACTCTTCAGCACACAATTCAGGTAAACAGGAAGAAGCTTCATGCACTCTGGGAGGATGAGCTGAAGAAGGAAGAGGAAAAGAGGGACACTGAGGGACCCTGGAGGAATTCCTCTCAAAACCAGCCTAGGATTCCTCCCTTCTTTTCATCTCTTCTGCAGCACAATATAACTTCAAATCTCAACCACACACTTGCATTGACCCCTTATTCCCAAACCTGTCCAGCAGAAGAGGGGCTGGCACAGTTCTTTCGGTAACAAGCCAGGATCTGGGCACACTGGCTGATGAGAGCATCACGTACTGTCTTCACAGGACTGCTCAGTACTCCTCGGTATGCTAAGAGAGAAAGAATACAAGGCAGGTCATTCCAACCCCGCTATAAGACACTAATAATAGCAGCTAGCATTTACATAGTGCCTTAAAGTTTGCAAATGTGTTACAAATATTATCTTGCTTTATCCTTACAACAACCCTAAGAGGTAGTGCTGCCATTCTTATCCCCATTTTAAGGATAAGGAAACTGAGGCAGACAAGGAGTGATGTGCCCATGGTCTCACAACTCACCTCATCAAACTTAACAGACCTCTGATTCCTGTCCCCCAACATTTCCCCTACCTATTCAAGTGCCCATCCCTTACCAAGCTTGGCCAGGTAGTTGATGAGCGTGTCAGTCTCACAATTCCGATACAAGTCAGCTAGCTGGGTGCAGCAGTTCAGTGACAGGTTATGAATACGGAGCCTCCGCTGCCCTGCACAGCTTGTGTAGAGCAGAGCACACTAGGGCAGAGATGAGCAAGAATCAGACGGTCCCTTCCCCAAAAGCCCCCTTCTTTGGTACCACCCCCAACAAACACAGCAGAATAATTGAGGGTGGAGGGGTGTATTCATTTGGACTTGTGATTTTATTGACCTTTGTAGCGAACTACAGGCAAAGAAACTTCTACGATGCCTATCAGCAGTAACTGCTGGCCAAGTGAAGGTCTGAAATTTGCCTGAGGCAGTGAGAAGTTATTTGCCTAAGGTCACAGGGCCAAAATTAATGTGACTGGAACTCCCAGAATGGCCTCTAGCCACCGATTTACAGAAAGAGACATGAGGTAACTGACATTTCCTTGCTGGGTCTCATTTCCTAACCTGGATGAGGGCTCCACTGTCTTCACTGAGGCGATCATCATGCTTGAATTCTACAGTCACTGTCTTGTCCCCGTCCAGACCTGCCAGCTCGACATCTGTCGTGTTGCTCATGTAAAAGGCTCCAAAGAAATCGGTAGCCCGGATACCTGAGGTCATAGAGACAGTTCCAGGACAAAGGCTATGTAACAGCAGCTCCCCAAACCTCACCTGAAACCTCCCCTCCCTTATATGTTTCCCCTTTCCGTCCTAGGACCAACCGGTGCTTGTCCGGACTCGCATCACAGCATCGAAGCCAACGTCCTTCTGTACGTCCCGACGTAGGTCACTGAGGAAGCGCTCCTGGTCACTTTCCACCTGCAGTTTCCCAGGCCTCAAGTCATATTGCCGACTCCCCTCACAGTATGGGTCACTCCCATCCACCCACCCAGTACGTTCACGAACTACTCCCCTCCCTGACCCCCCTAGCCCACAAACTGTCTCTAGACACTATCCTCATCAACAGTATAGGAAGGACAGAAAACTCCCAGCTCTGCCAATGTTTTTGTTGTTGGTCAGTATGTTTGAGTGTCCAGAGCCCATACCTGGAAGCAAGCGTACTTGTATATGGAGCCACCAGTATGATAGGGTACTACCCCAAGGGTGGCCACATCTACATACTGGTTAGGAAAGAGAAACAGGTCCACACAGCAGCCCTGAGCCACACACTCCTTGGCCAGGGACTGATAGAAGCCTGTTTGTGGCTGGAATAGGGTCTGGGAAAGGAGAGAAAGTGACAAAGAGTTGTAGTCAACAAATATTTCATTACTTATTGAGCACTGTGTGAGATACAAAAAAATGTAACATATCTACGGGGAGCTACTATGAATCCCAGCTTATTTCTGAAACAGGTTGTATCAAAGGATCAGTGGGAGGTAGGAGAAATGTGTCAGAGGCATGCAGAGTTTGTAGGGGGTGGAATTTCTCATCTAAGCCTACTTGCCCCACCCTACCTTCTCCTTGTCAGTGTTAAGCAGCTTCCGGTCATCCCGGTTCTTCAGCTTCCCGGGGGCTTCTGCAATGGGCAAAGACGTATGGAACAAAAACAACTTCCCTGGACACTCAGCAGCCTGTAGATGGGGCAAGAAGAAGACCCATGAACACATTGGCTAAGCAGACACTTCCCTCTAGCAACCAACATACTGAAGGGCTGGCTAGCTGTTTAAAACAATCCCTGAAGGACCTGGAGTCACATCTAATGCTCTACTCTAAATAGCCTATGACAACCCTATGCTTACCTTCAGAGCCTCCATTCCAGCCTGGATCACGGGAGCAAATACTGTCTCTGTCTCCCTCGTATCTGCAAACATTTCTGGAATCTGGTCCAACAAACTGAAGGAGTAAGAAAAGTCAGTCTGAATGGCTACCTCCATCATTATCCTACCCATCTAGGGCCCAACCACCAAAGCTTCCAATCACAGACTGTACTCCCAATTATAATTCAATTCTCACATGTTATGTGCAAGGC